ACATTTGTCTTTTGTGACAGGCTTATTTCACTTAACATAATGTCCTCAAGGCTAATTCATGTTGCAATGCACCATGTGTCAGAATTTTCTTTCTTCTTAGGGTGTAATAATAATCCACTACATGTACATACCACATTTTGCTTACACACTCATCCATCGATGAACACTTATACTGCTGTCACATTTTTAATTTGATTATTTGGGTTTTGTTGTTGCTGAATTGTAGGAGTTCTCTATACATTTTATTAAGCCCTCATCAGATATATGACTTGTGAATATCTTCCCTCACTTTCTAGGTCCCTTTTTTACTTTGTTGAATGCATACTTTGATGCAAAGAAATCTAAAATTTTGATGTAGTTTAATTTTTCTATTTTATTCTTTTGTGGCCAGTGGTGCTGGTATCATATATAACAAACAGTTGCCAAATTCAAAGTCATGAAGCCTTTCACTTATGTTTTCTTTTGAGAGTCTTATAGTTTTAGTTCTTATATCATTGATCTACTTTATTTTTTCCTTTTTATTTTTTATTTATTTAATTTTTCTTATTCAGGATATTATGGGGGTATAAACATTTTGGTTACATGTAATCCATTTGCCCCACCCAAACCAGGGTTACAAGCGTGTCCCTCCCCCATACAGTGCTTTCTGCTTCCATTTGTTGTGGGTTTACTACCCCCATGGCCCCCAACATTGCCAGCACCCGATGAGTATTACTACCATGTGAACCCCTTAGTGTTGGTCAGTTAGTACCAATTTGATGGCGATTACTCGTGTGTGGTGCATGTTTTTCCATCCTTGTGATACCTACCTCACTTCGAAGGATGGGCTCAGTCTCTATCCAGGATAATATAAGAGGTGCTGGATCACCATTGTTTCTTGAAGTTGAGTAGTATTCCATGATATACATATACAACATTTTATTAATCCATTCATGTATTGATGGGTACTTGGATTGTTTCCACATCTTTGCAATTGTGAATTGTGCTGCTATAAATATTCCAGTGCAGACGTCTTTTTTATAGCATGTCTTTTTTTTTCCTTTGGATAGATGCCTAATCATGGGATTGCTGGATCAAATGGTATTTCTATTTTTATTTCTTTGCGGTATCTCCAATTACTTTTCACAGGAGTTGTACTAATTTGCAGATCATTGATCTAATTTTAGTTAATTTTTGTACATGATCTAGGTAAAGGCCCACCTTTGTTTTTTTGTATGTGAATATGCTATTGTCCAACACCATGTTTGAAATGACCATTCTTTCCTGATTAAATGATTTTGATACTCATGTCAAAAATCAATTTTCCAAATATGTGAGGGTTTATCTCTATGTTCTCTACTCCATTCCATTGGTTTGTATATCTGTCTTCATACTACTACCACACTGTTTTGATTACTGTAGCTTTGTAATAAGCTTTGAAATCAAGAAGTCTGAAATCTCCATATTTGCTCTTCCTTTTCAAGACTATGTGGGTATTTGCAGTCCCTTGAAATTTCACATGAATTTTTGTATTTATTTTAAAAACCACTGTTGAAATTTTGATGCCAATTGCATTGCATCTGTAGATACTTTTGCTATTGACACCTTAAAATATCAAGTCTTTCAGTCCATGAACACAGATGTTTTCCATGTGTGTGTCTTCTTTAATTGTTTCTTAATGTCATGTCATGTCATTTTCAGTTGGCAAGACATTCAGCTTCTTTGCTAAGTTTATTCCTAAGTGTTTTACTACTTTTGAAACTGTTGTAAATGAAATTGCTTTCTTCATTTCCTTTTTGGATTGTTTATTGTTATTGTATGGAACACGACTGATTTGCATGTGTGTTGATCCTATATTCTTCAACTTAGCTGAATTTGTTTATTAATTCTAAGTTTTTTTGTGAAATCTTTGGGGGTTTCCAAAGATAAGATCATATCACCTGTGAAGAGAGGTTATTTTACTTCTTCCTTTCTTATTTAACTATCTTTTATCTCTTTTTCTTGTATAATTGTGGCTTGGACTTCCAGTTTTCTCTCAAATAGAGGTGAAGAAAACAAGCATCCTTGCCACTTCCTGTTCTTTCAGGAACACGAGAAATGCTTTTTGACTTTTGTCAGTGAAAATAGTATTAGCTGTGGGCTTTTTGTATATATGCTTTATTATGTTGAAGTAGCTTCCTCTTATTCTAGCTTGTTGAGTGTTTTTATGAAGAAATTGGGTAGAATTTTGTCAGTTTTTTAGCATCATTTGAGATAAGCATGTGTTTTTGTGTTTCTATTGTGATAATGTGGTGTCTTATCCTAATTGATTTTCATATGGTGAACCATTTTTGCATTCTGAAAATAAACCCACTGGATCATGGTGCATAAATCTATTTAACATGCTATTGAATTAAGTTTGCTAGCATTTTGTCAAAAATGCTTGCATCAATATGCATCAAGGATATTGGTTCTTTCCATTTCTTCTTATACCTCTGTCTGGCTTTTTAAATTATTAGTGTCATACTGGCTCATAAAATGAGTTTGGAAGTATTTCTTCCATTTTAATTTTTGGACGAGTTTGAGGAGAATTGGTTTTAATTCTTTTTTAAATGTTTGGTAGAATTCACCGGCAAAACCATCCGGTCTGGACTTTTCTTTGTTGAGAGGCTTTTTATTTCTGATTCAACCTCATTGCTAGTCATGTGCCTGTTCAGATTTTCTATTTATTCATTATCCAAAATTGGTGGATTGTATGTTTCTATGAATTCATCCATTTCATTTAGGTTATCAAACTTATTGGCATGCAATTGTTCATAGCATTCTCTATTTCTGTAAAATTTGGTGTAATGTTCTCTTTTTAACGTTTCACTTTATTATTTGACTCTCTTCATTTTTCCTTAGTCAATCTAGCTAACTTTCTATCAGTATCATTCATCTTTTCAAAGAACCAACTCTTGTTTTCATTGAATTTCCCTATTGTACTCTAATCTCTATTGTGTTTATATTTATATGCAATATAATCTAATCTTTATAGTTTCCTTTTTTCTTTGCTATATTTGGGTTTAGTTAGTTCTAATTTTTCATGTTCCTTAAGGTGTAAACATATGTTGTTGATTTGAGATCCATCTCCTTTTTTAATATGTTCACATCTATAAATTACTCTCTTAGTACTGTTTTACTTGCCTTCAGTGAGATGTAAAATTGTGTTTTCATTTAATATCTCTAAATATATTTTTGAATTTGCCTTGTGATTATTTTTTTAATTTTTATTTCAGTATATTACAAGGGTACAAATGCTTATGTTACATATATTGCCTTTGCCTCATCTGAGCCAGAGCTTTAAGCATGTCCATGCCCCAGAAGGTGCGCATTGCACCCATTAGATGTGAATATATACGCTTTGATTGCTTAAGAATGTGTTGTTTAAATTCACATGTTCATGTATTTTCCAGTTTTCCTTCTACGAGTGATTTCTAGTTTCATTCCACTGCAATCTAAAAAGATATTTTATATGATTTCAAACTTACAATGTATTAACACTTGTTTTGTTTCCTAATATATGGTATATACACTGGACAATTTTTGTGTTTTCTTATGAAAAATGTATATTCTATTGTTGTTGGCTTCAGTGTTCTGAATATATGTGTTAGATCTGTTTTTCATGATCTTCTTTTTTCCTTGTTGATCTCCTGTCAAGTTGTTCTGTCAATTATTGAAAATGAGACGCTGAAGTTTCCTACTATTATTTCAGGGCTGTCTATTTCTCCATTCAATTCTGTTGGTGTGTGATTTACATATTTAGAAGCTATGCTTATTTTTGTTATAGAATCTAGATGAATTGACCTTTTCATCATAATATAGTGCTAATGCCAACAGTTTTTTACTTTAACTTTATTTTATCTACTGCAAATATAGCAACGTCTGCTTTTTTGCATGGAATATCTTTTCCATTCTTTCACATTCTGCCTATGTCTGTCATTAGATGTCTAAAGTGAGTCTTTTGTAGTCAGCATATATTTAGATTATGGTTTTAAATTCATTGCATCACATATACTTTTTGTTTGGTAAGCTTAAACCATTTATATTTGAAGTAATGACCATTAAGGAAGAAGTTATTATTGTCATTTTGTTATTTATTTTCAGTATGTTTTATAGCTATTTTGCTCCTCATTTCCTCCCTTACTGCCTTTCTTGTGCTGATTTTTATGAAGTGACATATTCTGGTTTCCTTCTATTTCCCTTCGTATATATTCTATGTATATTTCACAAATATATTTCACAGCTACACTTTCCTGCTAACTCCAATCCCTTCCCAAAACTGTAACACCCCAACCCACAAAAAAACTTTTCATTTTTTAATTTCTTAAGTTTTAAAATTTCAGACATAACATTTTTGACTAGTACTATATAAAAATTACTCTCTTGACCTGCTACAGACTGTCCAGTAAGATTCTTCAATCTTTATCAGTGTTTTACTCAGTAATTTTGGAAGTTTTCAGCATTTTTACTTTGTTTTTAATATTCTTCAATCTTACTACAATGTGTCCTAGCATGGAGTTTTTCTTAGTTTGATGGGCCTGATCAATCTGAAAATAACCATGTTCTCTCAAAAAGGAATAATTCAAAGTCCAAAGAATTTGAACATGCTAATTATGTAAAAGTTGCACAAACATGTGGTCCCCAAACTAAAGGAATTCATAAATTTAAACAGAAACTTGGAATCCATGCCATGTACTGAGGTCCATCAAGGGAGTACACCAGGTGTTAAAGATGCCCAGATAAGTGAAACTGAGGACCATAATAAATTCCAGGACATAAATCCTCACTTGAGCATTGAAGGCTGCAGGGAACTAACCAGAAGAGGAAAAGTGGAAATCATTTGCCACACAGCAGGAAGGGAATAAACAATAACAAAAACTGAAAAGAAAAGGTGCTGTATATTTCTAGAGCAAAAATTATAATAAATACGAAACTACCAAGAAAAAAAAAACACAATTTATTCAAAGCCCTTCAAGTCGTGGAAATGAGGAAATGATCAGGAATTTTTACCGACCAAAATGGAAACATATTGAAGTATTTCAAGACAGATAAAGCCATGCCTTTGTAAAAACAAACATATCTGGTTGACTGAAAAGAGCTATTTAGTAAAATTAAGACTAGTATGAGGAATGTAACTGACAGTAATAAAATCAAAGCCAAAAATAAATGCCACATTTCCACACCAGGGAGCATACAGAAGGCCAGCATAACAACAGTGACATTGACAGGTAAGACACAGAGCAAGCTCCAAGCCCAAGCCCCAGAGAGACAGGATAGTAATGAGATCTAACTAGGGAAGAGCCAAGTGTACTAGGGTTGATACCCCAGCGTGGAACTGTAGTGCTGTGACAGAAGGTTATTCGTGTAAGGCGGGAGGCTGCAGCCCATTTACACATAGGCCACTTTAGTCACAGTGGTTGTGGGAAGAGTCAGAAACCAAGAGGCAGGCATTGGGGGATGGGCTCCAGCCCAAAAAGGGGTGGGAAGAGGAAGGAAGGATTTTGACATCCCAAAACCCATATTCTAAACATGCAACAATTACCTGTTTCCAAACATTCTTCCACCACACCCACCTTTGACCAAAATCAACTATCCTCATTAAAAGGGAAGAACTTCTTTAAATTTCCTAATATATCAGGTATTGATCTATTTTTCAATGTGACACATCTGGCAATTTAGACTCTCTTTCTCATGCACATCCAAGGACAACAATTTGGCATGGGCCACTCACATGGGCATAACTCATATTTTACATTGTCTATATAAATGTGCAACACTGTATGTCATTTTTCTCTTGTAGGTAGAGCTATAACTTGAGTGATTATGACTGAATACAAGAAAATTGTTCTGCTGAAAGGATTAGAGAACATGAATGATTATCAGTTTGCAGCAGTTAAGTCCTTACTGGTCAAAGACTTAAAACTGACGAGAAAAATGCAAGATGACTATAACAGAATTAGGATTTCTGATTTGATGGAAGAAAAGTTCCCAGGTGCTGCCTGTGTGGAGAAGTTAATAGAACTGGTCAAAGATATAGAATCCCTTAAAGGCCTTGCTGACAAGCTTCGGAAAGAGAAGTTAAAAGGTAATAGGGAAAATCCCACACGTGACCAACCCAGTCCTGAGTAGAAACCCCCCTTGGTCAAAGTTGATACTTCCCAATTTATGACTCAGTAGCCATGACAATGTTGGCACCTCAAAGGCCAACCATTTGACAACTTAGGGCATTCTGTTTCTTACAAACAAGATTAATATATTTTGGAGACTGTATTTGGGGTTCCTTATCCTTATAGGTGATAAGAAACAAGAGACAGAGGGAGTTGATGACAGACTGAGATTTCCAGTACATTAGAAACATTGGAAAGTGACAAAACAATATGGCAATTTGTGGTTTCTCTTTAAAACATTTATATATTACCAATTAATGAAGCAAATTGTTATGTCATGATATGTGTAGAACATTCCCACTTACTAAATCACTGGGCTAAACTTTTCATTAATTCCAAAGCCATTATCACTACTTTGTCACATCACAATGCAAGTCATATTTTGTTTCGCTTATTTCTGTAATTTGAAGAGATCTTCCACTGAAAATGATCAGCCTGTGAGCATCATGAAAGCTTTAGAGTTTTAAAAGGAAATGATACAAGAACAGGATTGGGAAAGGGTTTGACTGATCCATGGAGTTCAGAGGATGGGAAGAAAGTTCTAAGTGTACAGGGGAGGAGTACGAGAAGCACTGAGGAGTGTGGGACAGTGTCTGTGTTTGTGCTGTGACTGCTGCTCACCTTGAGGCCAGGCTGGGCTGGTGCAGTGGAGGTAGACTAACGCACACCTGAGCCCTCCGCAGATGCTGAGATGAAATAGTATTGAGACGACTTCAGCTGTCTTAGACCAAGAGCTCTGGGTTTACTGTGCCTTTCTTTTTCTTCTTTTTTTACCTCAGTTGCTAGGAAAATGAGAGCAAAAGGAAGAACTCCAGTAAAAAAGAATCAGGAAGAAGTGGGTCCTGCTACACCTGCACCCACCACAAGTGATGCTCTGACATCTGAAGGAGCAGACAAGACCCCTGTGCCTCAGGTAAGCTTGGTGAAGAGGAGCAGGATTGAAGGTCCACATAAGAAACTTTGCTATGGCACTTGGTTCTTCATTAATCTTCCAGCATAGCTTATAATTACATAATTGAGTAATTATGGGTCATCTTTGTGCTAGGCAAAGAATGAAGACTGTAAAAAATGTAATAAAAATTTCTGTGACACACACACACACACACATATATATATATATATATATATATATATATATATATATATATCACCATCCTCATTAGAAAAATAGGACAAAAATCAATTCAAGATGGATAACAGACTCAAACCTAAGTCATGAAACTATAAGAATTTTGGAAGAAAATGTTGGAAGAACTCTTATGGATAATGGAATAGGGAAAGAATTTATGAAAAAGATCCCAAAGGCAATCACAGCAGCACCAAAAATAAATACTGGAACCTGATCAAATTAAAAATCTTCTGCATAGCCAAGGAAACTATCATAAGAGCTAACAGACAACATACAGAATGGGACAAAATATTCATATGCTACAAATCCAATAAAGGGCTGATAATTAGATTCTATACAGAACTAAAGAAAATCAGCAAGAAAAAAATCAAATGACTCCATTAAAAAGTGGGCAAAATACATGAACAGAAACTTTTGAAAAGAAGATAAAGGGCCAACAAACATGTTAAAAAATCCTCAACATCTCTAATCATCAGGGAAATGCAAATCAAAACCACAAGATATGACTTATCTCCAGTGAGAATGGCTTTTATCAAAACGTCCCAAAACAACAAATGTTAGCATGGATGTAGAGAGATAGGAACACTCATATACTGCTGGTGGGTTTGCAAACTAGTAAAAACTCTATGGAAATTAGTATGGAGATACCTCAAGGAGATACAAGTGGAACTACTATTTGATCCGGCAATCCCATTATTGGGCATCTACCCAAAAGAAAACATGACATGCTATAAAAAATTCATCTGAACTAGAATGTTTTTAGCAGCACAATTCACAATTGCAAAGATGTGGAAACAACCCAAGTGCCCATCATACCAGAGTGGCTTAATAAAATATTGTGTATGTATGTCATGGAGTTCTAATCAGGCACAAAAAACAATGGTAATCTGGCACCTCTTATATTATCCTAGATAGAGGTGGAGCCCATTCTACTAAGTGAAATATCACAAGAATGGAAAAGCAAGCACCACATGTACTTGCCATCAAATTAGTATTACTTGATCAACACTTATGTGCACATATGGAAGTAACATTCATCAGGTGTCGGGCAGGTGGGTGGGGTAGGAGGGGATGGGTATATTCACACCTAATGAGTGCAATGTGCAATGTCTGGGGGATGGACATGCTTGTTTGTAGCTCTGACTCAGGCAGGGCAAAGGCAATATATGAAATCTAAACGTTTTTAACCCCATAACACTCTGAAATTATATATATAAGTGTGTGTATATATATATACACACACACATATATATATAATCAGATTTGAAATACATCTTGCCCATGCTTACACAAATCTAGATCATTTAAATTCTAAATGTAGCGCTCTTCCCAACATACCACAGAGATAATTTGAGGAGCATCATGTCTGTTAAAATCATTCATCTTTTTTTTAACGCAACAATTTATACCCATTATTACTCACTGGCCATAATTTCAAGTGGTAGGTTGGAATTCCCTGTTATTTCCAAGGTCATCACATCCAATATAAATAAAATGTCCTCTACAGTGATGAAAACATCCTCTGCTTCTTTTGATACTGAACCTCCTTAACAGGAAAATTAAATTACTTTCAGAAAAGAAAAGTGACAATCCAAGAAAGCACTGAAGCCAAAAGGAATAAGGCATCCCAAGAGCAGAGTCAGCCTTTCTTTCCTCCAAGACCCAGCACACCTGCAGCAATGGGCCATCCCTTACCTGCCCAGATAGCATCACCAACTCCATCCAACACGTCCGCAACTCAGGTATACTCTTTCTGTTTCTCTCCTCCAAATTTTCTTCAGTACCATAACAGGGCACTCTGCTGTTGTTATTGTTACTCTAACGTGTAACTGTTTTTGATACTGATTTGCTTTGGGGAAGGTGTTTCCTGTGTCATGGCAAATTGTTCACATTGTTGAGAAGCCACATCCAAGTAAAGTCCAGTCACCCACAGGTGACTGTTGTGTGTGACACATCAGGACAGACCACTCTAAGCACTTCTGTTCTGTGGAGGTAGATAGCTTGGTTGCTTGTACTAGTTCATGTGAATCCATGCCCGGTCTTTGCTCCCCACACTTCCCACTACAGATCAGGCACCCTTCTTTCCATGAAAGTATTCTGCTGTAACTCTGATAGACCAGTCCACTGGGGAGAAAAAAAAGATTACAGATTAAAAAAAAAAGGATACTTGTTTTCTCTATTTTATTATTATTTCAGCCATTGTGAAACGCTGTGAATACCCACTTGAGGACATGGCTTTAACCAGAAATCCTTCACCAGGGCCTACTTATATGTTGAGCCAGCCCCTCTCTTTCTCACACTTGTAACAGAGCACTATTTTGGGAAATAGATAAAAGAGTTGGACTTTCAAAATAGCAAAGGGTACACTAATGATATTGGAAATCCTTACTGTTTGCAGCCTGTGGTGAGCACCATTCTCTATTTTTAATGCTATCCGAGTTGTTTTTACACTTTTTTGATTGCTTTTGGTCATATAAGTGGGTGGAGGTTATATTTGGATTTATTATTATATTCTAGTCTTTCTTTGAAATCAACTCATGACAGCATTTTCATCATCCACTACTGTATGTTGTTCTTGCACAATATTGTGTTTTGCCTCAGGAAAACTATTCTGCATCAGTGAAGGTGTTCTAATTTCTGAAATTGTCGAGCCTTGTACTTTCACTAACTCTACCAGCTCACCAGCCTTTCATTTCTGACAGTTTCTCTCTAGCCTCCTAGCCTCAAGTCCAAATAACTATGACAGTTGTTGGGCCCAATGTTGTGGTTGAGGTTTCTCTCATAGGAAAGTGATTTTTTATTCCCTGCTCAAGCTAGTGATTTTATTTTCCTGTGTCTTTCCAACACAGAATCAGAACACTCAGGCACAACGTCAGGCGGCTGCCAGGGGAAATGTTCTCCAAAAAGACCAAATGACAGTGATGGTACTGAAAGCAACACAGCCATTTGAATATGAGTCCCCTGACAAAGGGAAAAACAAAATGTTTCATGCTACAGTGGTCAGTAAGACTCAGTTTTACCAAGTGAAGGTTTTCGACATCAACTTGAAAGACAAATTCGTAAAACTGAAGATCATTACCGTATTTGATTACATGGAATGTAATGGAATCCTGGAGATAAATGAAGCATCATCCGTGTCTGAAGTTGGGCTTGATCCAAAGTTTGAGGTCCCAAACAGCATTATCAGAAATGCAATCAAAACTCCCAAAATCAATTATCTCCACAAACAAGCATCAGGAACAATGGTGTATGGGTTGTTTAAGTTACAAAAGGTAATCTCTTAAATTTTTTTTTTCATTTTTTCACCAGTACTTAGAATTAAATGTCTTAATTTACCAAACTCTGCTTACTGGGATTGAATAGTAGGACCCAAGATTTTATCTTGACTAGAGACAGATGTGAAGTTTGCTCATCCAGTAGGACATAGGACTAACCTTCCTACACCAGAATACATGCAAATACTGTGAAAAAATTAGTAAGAAATGTTGGCAGTAATGGTTATCTGTTCTCAGCAATAATGAGCTAGGACAGGATAAAATCTATAGATCAATAGGTGTATGCCAATAATTTCTACTCTTTGAACTCTCTCCAAAGTGGAGCTCATAATTTTACTGTGATTTTGATAAATTTAATTTGAATAATGTATTACCCTACCAAGGTTGAATTCTGGTTATGACATGTAATCAGAGCAGTAAATGAATTGACTGTCATTGTCCTAAATGCAAATATATCCAACAGGTACCCAAATCTAAACATTTGTACTCTCTGCTCTATCTTCTTTATTTATTCATTTATTTCTGAAGATAGTATTGAAGAACTGAGAAATATTGAATTCTAGGTTTCATAGAAGATAAGGTAATCTAATCCCATCATTTATGAAAATAATAATTAAAAAGCATAGAGTTTTACTGATATGTCCATGTCCAAATTCAAAGGACTTGCTAGGATGATGTATTCAATTTCTCCCTCCTCACAAAAAAAATTACAAACTGCTATGAACATAACTAACATTTCATACAATTGATTCTTTCATAACCCCATACATATGTCTTCTAAGATAGTCCATTTTTACCTCCATACTTTCTCCCTTAAAGAGATCTTGCTTTAAATGCAATTATAGAATAGGTGAAGAGAGTAATAGCTTAGTTGTGGGAGACACTATAGAGGGTGAATTAAAAGGCAGTGGGACAAGATACTAGAAAAGAGTTATGAGGAAGGTTGAAAAAGAATGACTGAGTTATAGAAGATTTTTCCTATAAAATTCCTAACAACCTACTGAGTGAATAATTGTGGCAGGTGTTCCTTTGTTTCTTCATAGGACCAGGAGCCAAAAAGTCCAACAAAAAATTTGCCATTCCCCTATATACAGGTGTTTCATATAATCTCAGCTGACCTGAAGGTTGGAGCAGGAGAAAAATAGGGTGATATTCATTGTTCTAGAATTGCAGGCTGAAAAACACCTAGAGCAGGAAAAGCTTTTAAAATGCAAGACAATATAAAAAGGGTGCTGTGAGATGACCTAGACCAACCTGCATATATATCTGTTTCTTCTATTATTATTATTTGTATGGTATCAACTTTGTAGTGAGGCTTTCTCTCACATGTGTGGCACTAACAGTGTTCTCAGAATCTGGATGCTAATCGATTTTTGCAGAAAACAGTGAACAAGACAAACACAGTCTATGAAATACAAGATAATACAGGAAGCATGAAGGTAGTGGGGAATGGAAAATGGCATGATATCAAGTGTGAAGAAGGAGATAAACTTCGACTCTACTGCTTTCAACTGAGAACAATTGACTATACGATGAAATTGATGTGTGGAATTCACAGTTTCATCAAGGTGAGAATGGATAGAGGAATATTATTTTGCCAAAGAGGCAAATAATTTCATTTAGGCTTTGGGAACACCAGATTCCTCACATGGTGCATAGCCAGATCAGCAGGTAGAAGGAGAACCTAAACAATGCCCTTGTGCTCATTTGTGAACAGAAGATTTTTAAAAAGATATTGAGGAAATGGCATTCCGATAGCTATAGAAAGATTATGATACTTGTGCTAATTAAGTTAAAATTTGTATAAACCAGTGGAGCAGGAAAGTAATTTAACACAACAATCAAGAACAAGGGCTTTGCGTAAGACGTACTTGATTTGAATCCTGGCTTTGGCACTCACTAGCTGTCTGACACTGAAGTCATATTTTAATTGCTCCTCTAAAGTACTGGAAGTCTCCACATTATATGATTGGCTTAAAAATTATTTGAGACAATGCATGTATTTACTTATCTCATAACCTGAGATGAGCATGAGAGCATGAGAAATTGATCTGCAGTAGGAACCATTTTTTTTCCTTTAGCAAAGTAAAGACATTGAGAAGATCTTAGGCAAAGGAAATAACACACAAAAATTCCAAAAGTGTAAAACAGCATTATGAGTTCTGTACAACCAAAATTAAGTAAATGTAGAAGACTGTGGGACAGTGAGGTCCAAAGATTTAAAAAGAGCCAAAAAGTGTAGCCTTTGTCAGAAATAAATTAATGGAAACCTCATTGTTGAAATCCATGAAAAAATTTTACATGTAATATATGTAATAATTTCATGCAGAAGAATGCCTGATAACTTTGACATTTTAGCAAAAAATATTCTGGTAAGTATATGGTTGTATCACAGAAAGATTAGGCTTGTGGGAAGAGATCTCAATTAGAAGTAGTGTGCTGGAGTTCACTCATATCCCTATGAAGTAGATTTTATTGTTAAATATTTAGGAATTGTATGAACCATTTGTTAAACCTTTGGTAGTTTGAAATCAGCCATGGTGGAGGTATGTACAACTCCCAAATCTGCAGATGTTATAAATCAGAACTTTTAAAAAATTGGGCAGCTAGTTAATCAGGATACTACAGAAGACTATTTCGGAAATCTAAGAGGGGAAGAAACAAACAAGGATGAGTTAATGGTGGAAATAATTTTTTTGAAGCTAGATGCTCATGACTTTGTGATTAATTACATGATGATGACGAGAAACAGAAAAGGTTCAAGGAACATTCAAAGACGATTCAAGGATATTCTGCAGGATAAACAGTGATGCTTCACTAACATTGAGGATGCCTGAGAAGAACATGATCCAGGGAGTGAAAATCTTCTGTTTTGGACAGGAGGAATTTGATATACCTCTTCATAAATCTGGGGATATGAAGATCTAAATATACAGATCTGGAATAAAAAAGTGATTTTGTACTGAACATGTATGTATTTGTCAGTTTAGAGATTTGTCAGTTTAAGTTATGTGTTTGGATTATGTTATGCAAATGTAAAGTAAAATAATAGTATGTACATTTATGCTAACAGAAAACATTGAACATTCGCTGTATGTTAGGAAATTTTCTAAGTACTGTAAGTATCTCAGCTCAATTAATCCATACAAGAGACAACGATGAAGGTACAGTTATTATTCCCTTCTCCTAGATACAGATACTAATCCTCATAAAGAATTTGCCCTAATTGACACAAGCAGCTAGTGGGAGAACTGAGGTTGCAGTTCATGCTGCCTGGTTCAAGAATACAGATTTTTAGGGAAGATGAATGAGATTAGACACATGAGAGTGAAGCCATGGAAAAGACCTTTATCTATTTAGGAGTGGCCAGAGGTAAAGGATACTGCAAATGAGAATGAAAATGAGTGAATAGAGGAGGCAAAGGAAAACGGAAAGTGTGTATAACAAGCATGAAAAAAATGTTTAGAAAGATATTCAACACTCCTCACACCAAACAGAAATAACCAAGGGTGCCCTAGTGTCTTTAAATAACTGTATCATATATAAAAAAGGTGCTATTCTTTATTGAAAAGAAATTTCTAGCCAATAAAATAAAAATGTAATTGCCTCTACATGACATCATGCCAAATATCTCATTCCAAAAACCACACTCGCGACAAGCACAGAGGCTCACAATGGGAGTCTTGAGAGCACGAGTCAAAGCTAAATTTAAATGCAAAGGATTAAATTGGAAATACTAACATAATCAAGCACATAGAAATACACATGAACCTCAATTTTCCACATCTCAAATTCCCTAATTCAACAATGCCTCTATCCTAATCTAAGGAGGACCAGTTACATCATGAAAACTTCTTACTGATTATAGTCACCTGCCAATATTTTGCCTGCCTTGGGTCTGTCCTTAATGTGTTGCACTGGATGAATAAGCTATTGCCCTTCTCCTGTGGTTCTGTCTTGATCCCTTTATGGAGCCCCTGCTCTGTTCTAACATGCCCATGAGGAAATGTCTCTATTCAGGCTCCAGACCATGTCCAGAGGAGGACTCAAAATATGGTAATGCATTAAAGGGGATCGCTAAGAGAAACAGTGACATCTGAGAAGGAATAAGAAGAGCACTGTAGCCAATAGGAGGGACAGACGTTGTGAGTGATGGGAGAATTATGAGCAGAGATTCATCTCAATACCTGAGATCTCACTGTGTCTTTCTTCTCTCTCCTTCCAGGTCATCAAGACCAAGAAAAACAAGAAAATATTAATGAATATTAATTGAAATCTGCAAATTGAAACACACAACCTTGTACAAATCAATTAGATCTTCAATAATAGGGTTTTTGTGCAAAAGTTAAGACTTTCATTTAATTCAGAAGATTTCATTTAGATTCAGAAGATATATCCTAGCATATTAAGAGCTTTTATAGCTGAGTTGTAGATTAGGTTACTTTCTAAAATAAAATTTTCTTCTTATACTCTTCTGTATTTTCTATGAACTTTGCATCTATGACATTCTGAATTCAAAAAATAAAATAAAAAAATGTAAAGGACATAAAGTTTCAGCGATGTCCTCTTAATTTCAATAGTGACCTGCTTGAGACAGGTGCTTTGGGCACTGGGAGGCCCACAGAGCAGAACACACAGGATGGGGCACAGTGAGAGCCTCATCAGCACTGGGGTCTTCATTGTGATTTCCTAAATAAGGTTCCAATTAGAGTCATGTGTGAGTTTATACAACCCGTGCCTGAAAGAATAAGTTCTGTACCCTTGGAATGTGTTCAGTAGGTCCAGAGGAAATAATTCTGTTAGGCAGCTATGTCCCCCAGAAGCAGAATATCTGGGTAATTTGTCTCTCTGAGAGGGACACCGTTGGTGATTTGCACAAAGCTACCAATATGTGTAAGAAGCTTCCCATTCCTAGTTGCTGTGGATTCTCATACCCTATTCATTTGATTTGTACATACATCTCATTATTAGTATTACAAGTATATTTTCAAATGCTCACATCTTAAATGTTTGGATACTAGGCAAAAACTACTCAGTAGAAATATATGTGCAACGAAAAGTAATGAAGAGTGATGGAAATCTACTCTAAATGACAATATCATATAAAGAAATTAAATATCTAAAAATAATATTTTAAGAGGTAAAACAAAACAATAAGAATGTATCCACATGTTTGCAGTTGTGAATTGTGCTGCTATAAACATTTGAGTGCAGATGATTTTTTTTATAGAGTATCTTTTGTTCCTTTGGGTAGATGCCTAGTAATGGAATTGATGGATCAAAACATAGATGTACTTGCAGCTCTTTGAGGTATCTCCATATTACTTTCCACAGAGGGTGTACTAGTTTTCTGCCCACCCCAACCCCCAGCAGTATATGAGTGTTCCTATCTCTCCCCATCTAGGCCAACATTTATTGTTTTGGGACTTTTTCATAAAGACCATTCTCACTGGAGATAAGTCAGATCTCATTGTTGTTTTGATTTGCATTTCCCTGATGATTAGAGATGTTGAGCATTTTTTCAAATGTTTGTTAGCCATTAGTCTATCTACTTTTGAAAGTTTCTGTTCATGTCCATTGCCCACTTTTTGATAGGGTTATTTGGTTTTTTTTCTTGCTGATTTCCCCGAGTTCTATATAGATTATAGTTATCAGCCCTTTATTGGATGTGTAACATGTGAATATTTTTTCCATTCTGTAGTTTGTCTGTTTTCTCTTGTGATGGTTTCCTGGGCTGTGCAAAAGATTTTTAATTTGATCAGATCCCATTTATTTATTTTTGTTGTTGATGTCATTGCCTTTGGGTCTTCTTCATAAATTCTTTGCCTAAGCCAATGTCTTATAGAGTTTTCCAATATTTTCTTCTAGAATTCTTATAGTTTAATGGCTTAGGTTTAAGTCTGTTATCCACAATGAATTGATTTTTTGTGAGAGGTGAAATGTTCAGAAGGTATGGAAGTCCTAGCCAGAGCAATTAGACAAGTGTAGCTCTGTATTTTATGGCCAAAGACTTGCATCAACACAAGAATCCTTCAAGGGAATGTTAGTTAAATTAAATACACGATGAAATACTATGAAACTATTTTTAAAAAGCAGATGGTACTCTGCAATAAAATGAGAGTATCTCCAAGATTTCTTATTAAGAAAAAGAAAAGTGAATATAGAACAAACTATACAGTACAAGGCCTTATGCATAACAATGAGGGATTATATAATATTCATATTTCTGGATTTTGGATATAAAAACATTATAATCATAAGGAAAAATTATTTAAGATGATCTATTACGGTGAGGTGAGAAGTAAAGAGGAACAGATAGTTTGAGGAATTGGGGCAAGACTTCTTATGTAAATTTGTTTAGATTGCTTTGTTTTTTCAACTGTTTAGGTGTATTATTTATTGAAGCAAATAAGCTATTAAAAAAAAAAAACAACTATGTAAGTGAAGTGTTGTATTATGGTCATATCTCTTGTTTGCCCAAGACAATTCTGATTTATATCTGATGTCCTAGGGAACATTAATATCATCTCATTTTGCTTTCTGATACACTTGAGTCTGAACTATAAACTATATACATCCTACATTGTGGCATGTTAGCCTTAATGCTAGTACAAAGTGAATGCTCTGATTGGGTTGCCTTTTAGTCCTGGCTTCTTGTTGTCCACCCTGCTGCAGTCGCTACCCAGATGTCACAATGGACAAAGGTGTCAAAAGTCAGGCCTAACCTCAGGCATTTACCCTAATATGCCACACACCAAGGCTCTGCTTCTCAAATATCTATTTTCATACCATAGCACTTGTACAAAGTGCTGAATGTGTAGGCCACACTGAGGTGAACAGAAAGTCTGCCTACTGCCAGAGGCAACCAGTCCAGGGACTCCAATTCCCTTAGGCCCTATTTGACCCTTCAAAGCCTATCTGTTGAGGGTGGAAACTCAGTAACTCAGAATATCTGTTATAGATGTCCATTGGGAAGATGGATATGGGCTAAGAATGACCTAAGCTTTGTATTCTAAAGGGAAAAACCTAGCAAGGTTTTAAGAGAGGAAAAGATTGTAGAATGAAAGGCAAGGGGAGTTTGCATTTATGAGTGGATCTAAGAGATTACCTCCTGGTGGAGTTGTAGGAGGGGCACTCAATCTCTAACACACTCATTTGACTCTTAAGAGTTCATCCTTCCATTCATTCATTTGCTCAAATATGAGTGAATAGCAGGCATTGTAGTAGAATCAATTAGTGAGGTACAGGCTGCCTTGAGTTGTTAGACGAGGACTTACATCTTCCAAACAGGATTGTAAGTCCCCAATGGTCACCATGCAGTACAGACTTCACAAATATTATTCATCACTAAGTATATTATTATGTTACCATAATTATAGTTTGTTATTATTATTATTACTGTGATGAGCCACAGAGCTATTAATTAACGTAACCCAAGCCATTTCGAGAACAAGCAGTTTCCAACCATTCTTTAGTGCTGCCATCATAGGAAAAAATGTAGTGTCTGCTGTGCCCACGACCATTCTTGCAAAAAACGGTAGTCTGTGCAAACTGCGGTACAAAAGGAGAGAAGGGATGGGAGCCCGAGAGCAGGCCAGGTCTTGGCAGGCCAGTAGGATGGAGTATTGCACCTTGCATTTAGGGAAACAGTATGAAAGCAGGGAATACTTTGCTCAGGTTATGCAAAGACTACTTTGGACATGCTCAGGTCTAACGGAGAGGCTTCATCTGCAGTGTTACCAGGTCTACTGACCCCACACACAATAAAAATGTGAGATCTGTGTAAATGTAGGCGTTTTCAAGGAAATAAATCCCCACTACAGAAATGGGTGTGGAAAACTTTGATGTAATAATGATTAATATTTAAATTTAAGATTCTATTATTGTCCCCATTTTATATACAAGGAAACCAAGGGACGGGGATGGCAAGTATATAGTACAAGGTCAGACAGCAAGAAAAGGGTAGAATTAATGTTCAAACATGTGCATAAAAGCTTCAAAGTACATGCTTTAACCACTACCCTGTTCTGTCTCTGAGAAACTGAGGCTACTTTATTTATTGACACACACTTAGTATGTTTTATTTAAGTTAACTTAAGTTAAGGCTTTTTTTAAAGAAAACAAAATTTAGGTCAGAGAGAGGAGTTAAGTTTTTTGCCAAAGATCACAAAAGCAAAAAATGGCAAGATTTGAATTTGGAACAACACATTTACCTCTCTGCTCTGGATATTCAGATCTTACCAATCGGAGTGTGGTTCAGGTCCTTCTTTCCTTGAAAAGTGCTGCAATTATAGAATCAAAACTCCCTAAGCAGGAAGGAATGGGGCTGTCACCTCCCTGCCATCCTCTTATTTTGCAGACAGAGAGAATGAGGCTAAGGAAGACTTGCCAAGGTCACCCAGCCAGCTGTAGTGGGTCTAGGGTTGAATTCATGTCTCCTTACAGTAAGCCCAACAGTCTTTCGAATTTTCCTGTGTAAATATTGGGATATTTCTTTCTTCTTCATCAGGATATTATGAAGATTAAATGAAAAATGTTTGAAAGCAGCTATTACTGTTCCTGGCATAGGGCAGACATACAAAAAGTAATTGATTTGGTTTTCACCAGTGAAATATGTATGAATGAGAAAAATGGAGAGTATTCAAGACTCATGAAGTACCTAGTCTCTGCAAAGATTTTGCTCCCATTTTTCTCAATAGTTATCTGACCATCCTTCAGCAGGTATTTTGCCCTCAATTTATACGTCTAGGGCATAGCTCAGGGTCATGGTCCTCAAATTTGGCTCAGAATAAATCTCTTTAAAATTAAAAAAAATAAATAAAGTATGGACACTGAACTTAACTAAATTTAAAAACCCCGCTCAGCAGAGGAAATGGGTGGGGACCTGGGGAGAAAATAGGTGAGATGTGATCTAAGCAACTTCTTTTGTAACCTAAGCTTCTCTAAATAAAGATTTAAACAGTAGTTTTCTAGCTTCTAAGACACAGAAAATTTATGTTTCCCTAAAGTCATTAGAAAATGGTTAAGGGTTTTGAGGGGCATCTACAACATCATTCAGTTTTACTCCCACACTCTAATAAGATCAAAGCCCTTAACTAATTCTTTTCTTCAGTTACTCTCATCTTTTCTGCGCCACCCCTGCACATTACCTGACTGTTTTGATGGCATTAAAACTCATAGCATCCACCTCAGCATCCTTTCTGGCCCAGGACACCGCCCTACTTATATTTCATGTTCCTGGAGATGCTGGACTCCCAGGGGCTCCCTGCAGTTGCTCAGTGTGCCAAGCTTTCAGTAAGCACTCCTCTGGGGCAGGAGGTTGGGCGCAGGGAAGGGAAGCAGAGCAGCTCTACTTCTCAAATGACTTTTCTCAACTCTGCAGCCCTCACTGCCAGGCTTTAGAATTCAATCCCAGGGACATTGCCTATTCTGGGCCACTCGAAGTTTTGCATGTCTCATATAGCTTTTTATGAGGAGAGAAGATCCAACTTGCATATCCTTGTGCATACATGGTGAATAACTCCTTGAGCACATCAGAAGTGAGTTCCATCTTAAGAATTGCTTTGCAGGGAAACTTCTCAATCAGCTTCATCTTCACTCTATTCTGATTGGTCATACAGATGACCAGGGAAGGGTCAACCATCAGTTCTGTCCATTACTAAGCCTACCATGGTATGGAAAAGATCAGCAGTACTGTCACATCTACTTTGACTATTTATGTCTCCTTGACAACCATCCCCACCACTACAAGCACCATCCACACCATCATTTATTCATTGATTTGATCATTGTCAAATACCTGCTATGTGCCAAGTGCTATTCTAAACCAACACCATTAGTATAATTTCATTCCACCCTATATTATTATTATATGGGACATTCACATAATGCTTATCCAGTTTTTCATCATCCCTTTCATTTTTATCTCTATCAGCACCATCTTCATAAAAGTCCCACAGTCGGCATATGAACTCTGACCTCATTTGAGCACTATACATAAACATATACTATATGGATATACAGGATATATAAATAATAGATTGAAA